GGTCCGTGCTTGGAAAAAATCAAGTTTCCCGACCGTTACGTTCTTCATTTGCAAATTGTATACAGCGAGGAGCTGTAATTTGATCGTAATCGAATGTCGAAAACTAATGAGTCTGATAATGAAAATTTTGGACATCTTCCTTTCACTTTTCTGGTTTTAAATTACGTTTCAGTATTTAAGAATGCTACGTTGCCTGTTGAATTATTCAACTTTCTCTACGTAGAGTTATGCTGAGAATTATCATAGTCCTTTGACAATTTCTCATTAAATATACGAATGCTTTCGACGTTGTTCCAAACGCTTCTGTAGTTCGATAAATTTTCTGTCTCTGTCGTTTATTTTCAAAAACGTGCCATTATTTGTTTTTTATTTATTGTATTCATTTTACCAATTAAGAAATTGCACGAACTTTTATAGTAAATTATTCAACGAATCGAAGTTCAACTAGCTGACAAATAGTTCAACTCAAGCATTAATTATACGAGCATACAAAGAATTTTAGGATTTCGATTTTTCCAAGTGCAGACCATTGCTCGGCGATCGAATCAACGGCGAAAATTGAATGTTATTCGGCAAATTTGAAACGCGTTGCACCCATAGGCCGGGTAATAAAATTATCAGACTCTGCTGTGTTCGCGCTGTCGCTCAATTATTTCCTGCGAAATATTTGCGAGCAACGTTACGTACCGCTAATAATATCATATTTATTTGTTTACTCTGGTCACAAAGTTCTCGCGTAAAACAGGAGACAATTACGATATTTAATTCACGAATTTCATTTGTCTCTGTTTATAGAAATGAACGATATAAAATATTATGTAATATAAAATATTATTTTTGTTGCTAATCTTGTTTCTTCGCGGTCCATTTTCCTAACGAATTTGTTATGTTAAATCAAGAGATTGAAAAATTGTTAGAATGAAATTGTTGCAGGTTGTTGATCCTGCAGTAATTTGCGTATCCACAAATTGTTTAAATGGAGCGGAGGAGATTTCTAATTGAAGCAAAAAGACGAATTTCTCGTTATTGTATCCGTTTTTTCATATAAATTAAACGAATTTTCCGACTGTTCATTTTCGTTCGTAATAAAATATTTTCAGGAGCAACAACTCAATTGCTTTCTATTAATTAATCTATTAATAATATATAACTAATCTATTAATTAGGAAAATAACGAACGAATAATTCTTTAATTGTGAAAAATTCGTCGAACACGTAACAATACATGTGAAATGTCTTAATAGAAAAAAAAAAAAACGTATCTATTACCAGTAAATATTTCACAGAATGTTCGAACAACAGAACATCGAAATATTAAAGTATTCAAAGATAATGAAGATTCAGATGCACTACATAAAATGCTCCACGGTATTTATAAAAATCTCCCTTCAACGAAAGCTCCCATCGCAGCAAACGAATTCGATCGACCAATGGAGTTCAATTAACCGATTAAATCCTCCTGCCAACGAGTTGCGTGTTTTTTAAACATCCATTATTATATGTAAAAGACCTACAATATTTACAAATACAATTGTCTGGCTTCGAAACTGTCCGTTCGATAGCAAACGACACGTACAAAAGCCTCTGTTAGTTACGATCTTTTCATCGCGCGTTCACCATGGATGAAAGCAAATGGCGGTCGCGTAATTGCCAGACGCGGGCTGCAAACGTTTCAGAGATGGCACGTGCGAGCCAATTAAACCTATCGGACACCGCGATGAAACGCCACGCCGGCCGGATAGCGAATTAACGATTCGACAAAAGCCGGAATATCAAATTGGATCGACGATAGGCCGATAGCGGTAAGGCGATTAAAGTCGCCCAGGATGAAATTTCGATAATATCTTATCGCGTTTCGCTGGCCGTGTTACAAGCGTTTAACGCGCGCAGTGTAATGTCAATTACACGACAAACTCGTTAAACGATCGCGCTTTTGTCAGCTGGGTCGCTGACCTGGTCGGATTAAAGCGACGCGATTCCATAAAATTTCGAAAACAGCCGCGAAATGGCTGTCGGTGCTTCGTTGACCTGGATACTCACCCGAACGGTATAATGATCGGCAATCGTCGCTGACATCCGTTTCACTATCGGCTCGTGAAACTCTCATGTTCCTTCGTTCAGAAAAATCGATCGTTTAAGCCGGGCTTTGACTTGAGAAAATCGAACGAGATATGTTCTGTTGGATTCCGTGACGGAATCGAATGGACGAAGGACCGATTTCTTTTATTGCTCGGGGCAAATAAAAC